TTATTTTAACTAGAGGGGCAGAGTCGGCTTCACCTCCACTAGGAAACCCAATATGTGTCAACTCCAAAGAAGCAGGACGAGCCTCCTTAGTAACAACAACCTCCTGTTTGGCAGACATTCGTAGAGCAATAAAGCTAGAAGGAGGGGGGAACTATGATGGGGCCGTGATTGCACATGTTGGCTTAAACACAGAGTCACCCTCAAGCACCAAAAAAGCTCAAGAGTCACCCTCAGTGCTATGGTGACTCTTGGAAATGGTCTTTCCCCTCTCCTCTTCTTGGACCTCTCGGCTCAGGAGGTAGAGATTGTAGAGTCCACACCAAGTTGGGCGATGAGCTCGGCCAAATCTTTAACTAGATCTTGAACCTCCTTCTCTGCCAACTTGTGACAAAGGCACTTTTAGGCTCCTAAGGAGAGGCTGGTGTGAGGAGCCTCTTCGGAGTACACTTTGGTGACTAGAAGTGGAGGATCCTCCTTCGTGGCCTTCGCAATAGAGATGCTAGTAGCTCGAAGTACGGCATTGTCGAAAATGTTCTCGTATTGACGAGACCTCTTGTAGGCTCAGATTTTCTTCAAGCCTCACTTCTCCACTTCAGAGAGAAACCTAGCTTTCAGTCCTTCGTTCTTGATCTCCAACCATGAAGAGCAAGTGAAAATTGGGTCAGTGCCAAAAAGAAAGAAAAACTTCTCTTTCCATCATTTATTAGTCTCAAGGATGTTCGAGACTACTCAAAACCTACATGTTGATTTAAGATAAAAGTATCCCTCATCCTTGTTGATTTTGATGCACAACAAATGACCTAGGATCCCCAAGGTTGGCTCGACTTCCACCAAATGATAGATAATGAGGAAAGCGATTAAGAAAGCCATCAAGTTAGGCTTCAATTGGACCATCAATACTCTGAGGGTGTAGAATACCCCCTAAGGAAAGGGTGTAGAGACACACAGAGGTCATAGTCAAGATGATGCTAGTATATCGACACCTCATCACCACCATGGTGATAAACTGAGCAGTCAGACGAGGGGAAGGACAGAGTAAAGAAGATGGGGGTATCATACTCCTTTATCCATCTCATGATGATGTCGTGAAGTATCGATGATTTGTACCCGCATTGCAGCGAGATCTGTGCCTCTTTACAAACCAGAGAATATTACGAACATGAAGCCATCGGGGAAGACAGAAGGATGATCAGAGTTCTGAAGGTTAGAAATGTAGAAAGTTCAAAGGCTAGAAGTTCAGAAAGTGAAGGATGAGGAGAAGGGACGACAGTATTTATAGGTATTAATCAGCCTCCGATGATTGACACATGACTAGATCTGAGTAGTGGAGCTCGGATCCATTGGAGGATGTCAACCTTCATCAATCAAAGCATCTAGGTGTGTAATCTTCGCTGACAACGTCACATCATTTGCAAATTAATTTCCTTCCATAGGCCAATCCAAATTCCTAGGGCCATGAAGAAGAAATGGTTATGTTTTCCCTCTGATTAGGTCCCTTGAGTCCAAGTGAAAGGGGCCAATATTATACCCTAACAATCACAAGTTCAGTAAGCCCCTAAGAGTTAGCCACGTACCAATCAAATGAATAGGATTAGCTTACAAAAAGGTCCAACCTGAGGAAAAATATAGTTTGACCAAACAAGATGACCTTAACCAATAGTTCTAGTCAGAGTCAAAAGGCGTCTTCTGGTCGGAATCCACTAGAGAAGACCCCAAGCTCTATTTGAAAGGCACCTTTAGGTTGGACTCCACTGTTAAACCCTAATGCCACTAGGAAAGAACCCTAGAGGGGGAGGGGGAGGGGGAGGGGGGTGAATAGAGTTTATGCTAATCTAATCCGATTTAAATACCAATTAAAACTTATCAGCAAATATATCCTAACAATGAGATACAACAAGAGATGTATGCAAGGATATAAAACTAACACAAGGGTGAAACAAGATATAAACAATATAGTGGATGAAATAAGCAATGAGTGAATGACAATAAAGATGAACAAAAATATAAGTGCGTCAAGCCAAACTCAAACACAAGATATGATCACGGAGTTCGGTCCTCACGATCTACGTCTCCGCTCCTCACCTCGAGGAGACCTCCACTATCACAACTGAGTTTTCTACGCTCACCCGAATAATGTTTACACAACACAATATCGGTTTTTAATGCTCACCGCTTAGCGTTCACAATCACTCACAATGTAACTACACAAACTACCACCTCAAGTGTTGGCCTCTCACGTGTCTCCCTCAAGTGTTAAGAATTACAACCTACCTCTAGACATTACCACCTATCCCACTCCTCTTGGGACCGACCACATCTCTCACCTTTACACTTCTCTTGGTATACTTGTGCAATGCAAAGTGAATCCTCACAATTAAGCTCGCTAACAACAAATGATTTATTCTATAAACAATGTGAGAAATAAATTAAGCCCAACTCTATGTTACAATCTCACAACCCCAAATATACTATGTATGAAAATACTAAAAGCTCAACGTGGGTGTGTGTAACAAAGATATTTAATAAATTCAAACTAAACTCCAATAAGATCCTAGCGTTATGGAAATAAAAATCAAACAAATAAAATAGCTAGATTGAGTTTAGGAAAACTTCTCTATATGATAACAAGAGAGAGGGGGAAGAGTTGAATGCTCAAACACCAATGGATGATCCCCTCAAGCTCTTGTGAAATTGTCTTCACAAAACCAAACTTATAAAATTGCTTAAAAGCTTTTTAAATAAACTTAAACCAAACTTTAAAACCCTTGTAAAACTCTATTAAACTTGTTTAAAACATTCTCTTGGTTGGTGGGAGAGAAAAATGCCATGGGGTATTTATAACAACCCAAGACATCAGCCAAAATCCAAAGAAAATGACCAAAAATCCATAAGAAAACAAAACTGGAAATTAACTGTTACCGTCTAATGGTAATATCGACGGTTGACCGCAGAGCCATAGCCGGTCGACCACGAAAGATTGAAGAACAGAGCAAAGTCTCTATACTTTTGGCGGTCGACTGCCGCGACCACTCCGGTCAACCGCGGACGGATATTTCAGATACTCAGGTTTGAAAATAGCTTTCTGACTTTTAAACTCAATTTAAACATAGTAAAAAAATTCAAAAAAATGTAAAACTTTGGGGAATACTTGTAAACATAAAAATGAACATGTTACAACTGGTTTTTAAATAGCACCTCCCAAATGAGAAATCTCTTCATTTTACAAAATAGTCAAAAACATGAAAATGATCATACTTGAAATTTGATATTTTGACTAAACTGTGTTTTGAAACTTTATAGAATGATTATATAGTCTTGATAAAAGATATAAACTATTGTTGTTAAGTCTATAAAACAAAAACACAATGTTTTATCAAAATACAAAGTTTTGCACAATATGTGTATTTGACACAATGATAAATATGAAACATGTATATATATGTAAACAAAAAAATATAGGTTTCATATTTGTATAAACTTGTAAACAATAAAACTAAAACACACACACACACACACACACACACACACACATCTATATGAGAAATCTTCCTGTGCGAAATCTTTTTCGCACAGCACTGTGCGAAAAACGTCCGTGAGCCCTTGGATTTAACGAGCGGCTCACGTTCGTTTCAGAAACCCAAAAAACTCCCGTGACCTCAAATCCTCCTCCCTCTTCTAAATCTCGTCTCCTTCTCTCAGCTCAAATCTCCCTCTCTCTCCTCAAACCCTCCTCCCTCTCTCCCCCTCGTGGAGCCCTCTCGCTCGTGAAACGAATCTTCTTCAACGCCGCCGACCATCTCCTCAAACCCTCCCCTCCCTCTCTCGCTTGTGACCCCAAGCACCGCCGCCGACCAACTCCGACTCCGACCCCGACCAACTCCGACTCCGACCTCCTCCTCCAACTTCGGATCCGACCCAGGACGTGAGCCGACTCCGACCTCCGACCTCCAACTTCGGAGCCGACTCCGGACGTGAGCCACTCTCTCTCACTTGGAACCAAAGGGAGCTTGAATCAAATTTTTTTGTAGGTAAAATTTTAATTTTACTTTTTAAGATTGAGGGTTCTTGTTGTTTAATGAGTTATACATGATTATGATGGTTGATGCTTGTTGGATTTTAGTCAAAATTGCTTGTTGGATTTTTTATTGTCCTCTCAAAAGCCGAATTTTTTTTGAGAATATGTTGGCTGGTGTTCTACATTCTCCCTTAGTTCTTCATGTTCCTATGTCCTGATGTGTTTTCTGAGAATGCTATGTTTTGAGTACTCAAACTGTAGCTATATGCTTCTTTTAATAATGCTATGTTTTGAGAATGCTATGTTTTGAGTTTAAATATCAGTAGTTAGTAAATATATATTTTGAAGTTAGAAACATGTTTATTTTTTATGGAGAACTCAAACTGTAGCTATATATATTTTGAGAATGCTATCATGTTCCTATGTCCGAAGCTTATGGAGAACTCAAACTGTAGCTATATGCTTCTTTTAATAATGCTATCATGGCTGCTAAATTTGAATCCTTCTATGGTTGAGTTTGGTTATATCATGCTCGTGCTTTCATTTTTTATAGTTTAGGTGGTTGCCTTGTATATGAATGTGTGGATTGCGTTTAACAGCATATAAATTCAAGTTGGATTATTCATTGACCTTTCAAGTTAGAATAGTGTTTATTTTTTTGCATAGTGGTCTTTGATGGTTTGTTCTTGATGTTTGTTCTTGATGTTTATTTTTGTAGGTAAAAATTATTCTTGATGTTTGATCCAATGAAAACTGAAGATGGTTGCTCCCATGTTGTTGATGAAAAAAATCTCTCAATTAGATAACTTAGTTGTGCCAATTGTTGATGAGCACTTAAAACCAAAAATAGGAATGACTTTCGGCAATTTAGAAGAAGCTGAAAAATTCTACAGAAATTACGGAAAGGTCGGAGGTTTTGATATCCGTAATAGCACAACAAATTATGGGAAGGATAGAGAGTTAATTTGCAAAAGTTAAGCAGTTTGGAGAGGTGAACATTCCAACAAACAAGCAAATGGCCTTCTTTGAAAACTCTAGCGGAGGTTTTCATAGAATTGGATGCATTGAGACCGATGTGAGAAATTATGAAAGAGATTTGAGAGAGGAGAGGCGCGGTCATGATGCACAAATGATGTTGGATCATTTCAAGTCGGAACAAGAGAAGAATCCTTCATTTTATTATGTTTATGAAGTTGATGAAGAGAAGCGCTTAACTCATTGTTTTTGGGTGGATGGCATTGCTAGAATGAATTATCAACACTTTGGCGATGTTGTCTCCTTCGATGCCACGCATAACACAAATCAATATGGCTTGGTATTTGTGCCGTTTGTAGGCATAAATCACCATTGGCAAAGTGTTTTTTTAGGATGTGGCTTGATCCCAAACGAAGAGGCAAAGTCTTTCGTATGGTTGTTTAACAAATGGATTGAAGCAATGGGTCATCCTCCTTCGGGCATGATTACAGATCAATGTCTTGGCATATGCAAGGCAATTGAAACAGTTTTTCCAGAAATTCGGCACAGGTTTTGCATTTGGCATATCTTGGACAAAGTTCCGGAGAAGTTGGGTAAATTGGCTTATAGAACAGAATTTATGAAATCTTTCAAAGAAAATATTTGGGACTCCGAGACTGTTAGCTCTTTTGAAGAGAATTGGGTTTCAATTCTTAAAAAAAATGGATTGGAAACGCATGATTGGCTACATGATATCTATAAAATTAATTGGGTTTCAATTCTTAAAAAAAATGGATTGGAAACGCATGATTGGCTACATGATATCTATAAAATTCGTGAAAAATGGGCTCCGGTTTATCATAAACAACACTTTTGGGCTAGAATGTCTAGTAGTCAAAGAAGTGAAGGGATGAATGCATTGCTAAAAATGCATGTATCAAGAAAAAATTCACTTCATGATTTCGTTACCATCTTTCAGAGGGTCTTGGCGAGACAAAGAGAGGGGGAGCTTAAAGAAGATCATTACACAGTGGAGAAAAAGCCAAATCTGAAGACTTTGTGGTCAATGGAAAAACAAATGGCCCAAATCTACACGAAAAAAAATCTTTTATATATTTCAAGAAGAGCTTCAACCTAGCTTAATGTATAACATTGAGCTGGTAAAAGAAAATGAAAGAAAAAGTACCTTCCAATTGAATTTTTGTGGTCATGATGAAAGATTGAGACATATTATACTTTGCAAAACAACTAAAATGATCCGTTGTTCGTGTCTCATGTTTGAATTCAAGGGCATTCCATGCCGACATATCTTGGCATATCTTAAAATTACCAATCATAGTGAGTTACCGGAGCAGTATATTCTAAGAAGATGGTGCCGAAATGTCAGAAAAAGTGTTGTTCTTAGAGATGATAATATTATTGGAGATAATGCCACAATTAATTTTGCTTCTCGTTTTAGTGAACTAAATTGCTTAGCTAATGAAATGGTCGAAGAGGGGCTATCTTCTAATGACGCATATGAATTAATGCGTGAAATGATGATGGATGCTATTAATAAGGTGCAACGTTTGAAACTCATCAATGATGAAGAAATTGAACAAGATGTAGAAGCACAATATAGTAATGCGGAGTGTTCTCAAGATATAGTTCATGAACCAAGTCAAGCAAGAACAAAAGGAAGGCCTAGAGGGAAGAGGTTAAAGCCATTGAGAGAGATCCGCAAATGCCGGCCTAGGAAATGCAAATTGTGTGGAAAGCGAGGGCAAAATCATGATAGCAGAAATTGCCCTCTAAAATTTTCGAGGTAGTGTATTATTTTTTTAGTAATACTAATGCTATTATTTTAAGCTTTTTTTTAAGTTGGTGCAACTATGCAATGATCTTTAATGTGTTTTGCTATCATTAATTTTTTATAGTGATTCAATGGAACAAGATAATATTGATGAAGCCACTGATGATTTAGAAGATTCCTTTGAGGAAGGTAATGGTTAATACATACGGAATAACTTGTACATTTCCATTTTGTTGATGGATTGTGATTTTTTAATGTGATGAAGCACTTTATTGTATTTTTGGGTTGAGTTTTTGTATCTTTTGTGTTGGTACGTTGATATCAGAATTTGTTGGTAATAGTCGTCATGTGTTGGAAGAAGATGGCTTAGTCGAAATAGTTTTTGTATGTGCTCCTTTATTCAAAAGCTCTGTAATACCCTTGATTCAAAGACTGGCTTGAACTCTTTCTATGCTCTGTATGTGCTCCTTTATTCAAAAGCTCTGTAATACCCTTGATTCAAAGACTGGCTTGAACTCTTTCTATGCTCTGTATGTGCTCCTTTATTCAAAAGCTCTGTAACGAGCCTGGGTATATGAAGCGTTATTGTTTAACCTTGTATTTTGACGAGTATGTGTCCTCATCTGAGGCATAAGGGTTATGGTTTATGGTTAAAATCTTAGATTCTTTACTTGAAACCTATCTTATTTAGATTTGATGCAAGGTCTACTCATTGTCCCCTGCAGCAATCTACTCAACAAGTTCTGAGCATGTATAATGACCTCTACAGAATTCAGATGAGAAAATGCAACCAATTAGTATCATGCTAAAATTAAAACATTTACTCATTCTTGCATTTGGAACATTGATTGATTCAGCACTTGATAATCATGGATTCTTGGGAAAATGAAAACTTGTTCACACATATAAGTACACATCTTCTCTAGCTTTAAGCTTAACCATCACTATCAGCTTAATTTCCATTAAGTATTTCCTGAGGGAATGTGTTTGTTTAGAAGGCACCACCTGGTCACACATATTCAAATAAGATTTCATTTAGTGGTGAAACCACAATAAGGCCATATATATATTTCACAAAGACGAATTTACATACTTGTAAGGCCACTAATTCAAACCATTGAAAGGAAACTGATGCCTCAAATAACTCCTGTAAAATCATTCACAACATTCTCATGTTAAGAAAATACAACAAACTCTCCATTCACTTGAATGTTCTTCTCATCATTCACAACATTCTCATGTTAAGAAAATACAATAAACTCAAAACACAATCTCATGTTAAGAAAATACAACAAACTCAAAACATAGCATTCTCAGAAAATACAACAACAGACTTGAATGTTCTTCTCATCATTCACAACAAACTCGCAGCAAACTCAAAACAGCAAACTCAAGGCAACAAACACTTTTCAGCAAACTCAAATGTCATTAGGGAAACAATTTTTCAGCAAACTCAGAAAATACAACAAACTAATATGTTGCTCAGTCATTTGACTATAACACAGAACAACAATATCAGTACAACGATACTTAAAAATTTCAAATATAAAATTACATCATTCAACAATTTTTTCAACACCTCATCATTTTTTTCTAGCCTTTCCAGCCTTTTTGTGATGTTCTTGTTATCACCAACCCATTCGAAGAAGTTGCAACCCTTGCAATTAGGTCCCTTGTATCTCGGGCATCCATAAAATTCCAAGCCGTTATTGTGTCCTTGCTTGCACATCCGTATTTTGCAAATTAACCCACAATAACATTTTCTTTGAACTAAACCCTCATCTTCTTCTCCACTGAACTCACACGAAAAGTTCTTCATTATGGCACGCGATGTCTTAAGATAGAAAACAAGATGCATATAAATTCAGTAAGTTGACAGATATAATAGGCAGATAAAAAGCAATGACACCCCCTTTCCATCTTCTACCAACCAAAAATTCAGTAGATACAAAAGATATCCATCTTCTACCAAAAATTCAGTAAATTCAGTAAGTTGCAAACAAGGAAATATAATAGGCAGATATCCATCTTCTACCAACCAAAAATGAGAATAGAAAATAAACTATGAGAAAAGGATAGCCCCTTCATAGATACAAAAGATACCAGAAAACCCAATCAAGAATTACCTAAACAAATTTCGCGCAGTGCTGTAGATATGCGGATGCAACGGTGCTGTATTCAAATAAATCACCTGATCAACAAAACCCATCAAACAAAACCCAAATTTAACAATAAAAATCGAGTAGGATACATCACCTGAGGGATTGACCTTGTGCTTGTATCCGGCGGTGGGATTGACCTGCCACTCGACGAGCTCCTTATGGAGACGATTGCATGCGATCTTGCTTAGGGTCTGAAATCAATGGAGAAATCAAAGTAGGGTTTGAAATTTTTTGGGAGAGGAGAGAAAACCGATCATTACTTTGCGAGGTCGGAGGTTGGAGTCGGCTCACGTCCTGGGTCGGATCCGAAGTTGGAGGAGGAGGTCGGAGTCGGAGTTGGTCGGGGTCGGGGTCGGAGTTGGTCGGCGGCGGTGCTTGGGGTCACGAGCGAGAGAGGGAGGGGAGGGTTTGAGGAGATGGTCGGCGGCGTTGAAGAAGATTCGTTTCACGAGCGAGAGGGCTCCACGAGGGGGAGAGAGGGAGGAGGGTTTGAGGAGAGAGAGGGAGATTTGAGCTGAGAGAAGGAGACGAGATTTAGAAGAGGGAGGAGGATTTGAGGTCACGGGAGTTTTTTGGGTTTCTGAAACGAACGTGAGCCGCTCGTTAAATCCAAGGGCTCACGGACGTTTTCGCACAGTGCTGTGCGAAAAAGATTTCGCACAGGAAGATTTCTCTCTCTCTCTCTCTCTCTCTCTCTATATATATAACCAAAACTGGTATGTGTGTGTATGTGATTGAGCTTGAAGTATCTACACACAAGTATAAACCTAAACTATAAACACTATAAACTATGTACCCAAGCTTGATGAAGGTCTTTAATGAGCTCAACTTGGTAAACTTACGGATGAAGTTTGAACTAGAATCTTTAACTTGAATTACATTGCTTCACTCCACTATTCCGCCAACCTCTATTGGATATGATCGTGAAAATTTGATTCCATCCATCCTTCAACATATTGTTTGTCTAGAATAAATAGGAAAATACAAACACTAGACAAACAATATTAGTTATAAATTATTTATAAAAATATCATCAAAACAAGAAGGCCAACATCCACACCAAAAAAAGACAGTCCTAATACAAAGAAAGGGACGACCATCAGTCTCGACAACACCGCTCGCATTAAATGCATGACGAAGAGTTATGATTACTTCTTGGATAACACTCATATTTCGCTATCCAGTTGCAATCACATTAAATACACATTATAACGACTCATCGGATGTTGCCTACCTGCGTCTTGTCGCTATCACATTAAATGAGGTGAAAAAGGGTCCCAAATATTAGCCAGATCGATGGACGACATGTGTAAAGCAGAAGTGTTTGATGGAAAATTTATAGTAACAAGAAAAATAATGAAAGAATCGTATTTTGATTTATTCTCTCTAACTGCTTAGAAAAAGAATGATTACAACCCTCTCAATCTTGATTACAATTTGGTTTCCTGATTACAAAAGAGAGGAGAATGGATTTGATTCTTCCATTTGTTTAATTCTGGGTTCTTCACGGTGGCGATGGAGTGCCTCCCTCGAATGCTCGCGTCGAGTTTGCTCTCCGTTGATGATCCGACGTTTTGCTTTACTGGAACGATGTCTTCTCCTCACAGTTTGACACTGTGGAGAACTTGCCAAGCAAGTTTTAGAACTCTGAACGAGTTTAGAAGAACTCTGTAAAAGAGTTGATTTGAACCGAAAATCGGTTAATAAGCCAAAGCCAGCAGAAAGCTCCGGTGGTCGATCTCCAAAGCTTCAAGCAATTCCCCAAAAAGCCAGCGATCCCCCAAAGAGAGAGAGAGAGAGAGAGCCAAGATCTCTTCTTTTCTACCCCAAAATCCCGGATCCGAACTCAGTTGAGTTTCGAGGTATTTATAGGGGATTAAGGGGGTGTAACCGCCCCCTTAATTTGCTTCTAAATGGGGCTGAGTGGGGTGTAACCATCCCCCCTTAAACATCTCCCTAAATCGTGGGGAAAATAGTTTTGAAACCGTTCAGTTCGTGCTTTGAACGAGTCAAAACGCCAATCTGGGCGTTCTGGGCCCGAACTCTGCGTTTTAGATCTGAAACGCAGAGTTGAGCCTGTTTTAGGCTGAAAACGCACAGGTCACGCAGCGCAGAGATAAACTCTACGTTTTGGACCTGGGACGCAGAGTTGGGTTCTGCATGAACTGTGCGTTTTTGGACCTGGGACGCAGAGTTGAGCTTTGTATGAACTCTGCGTTTTGATGTTATAACACAAGGATGACCTCTGCGTTTTGAGGTTATAACGCTGGTTCGACCCGTGCGTCTTGATGTTGCAACACGGGTCCGGCCTGTGCGTTTTGATGTTACAACGCAGGTCCGATCCGTACATTTTGATGTTACAACGCAGGTCCGACCCGTGCGTTTTGATTCTGCAACGCAGGTCCGACCCGTGCGTTTTGAGGTTATAACGCTGGTTTGACCCGTGCGTTTTGGCTTTGAACGCTAGGGATGAACCCTACGTTTTGATTCTGTAATGCAGAGGTGAGCCTTAGGCGGGCTTGATGAACTTCAGGCTAAGTCCAATGTTCAGACGAAGTCCAGTCTTGCAGACGGACTTCAGAACATGACTTGCTGCGAAGAACAGGTCATAACTTTCAAACTGTAAGTCGAAATTGGACGAATTATATATGAAAATCGGCTATCTCGACGAGACGGAGCCGACCAAACCAACCCCATGGGGTTTGGTTTGCTCCGTTAGTTTTGCCAAATTCCTTACGGTTTGAGAGATATATGCGTTTTGGTTTGAAGAGACCGTCGATTTGTAGTCTCTTTTGCTAGGGCGTTGCAAAGATCGTCATCTTGTAATCTTCATCTTGGCTACTCAAAAATACGAGAGTCGTCAGATTGTAACTCCCGATGTTGATTGTGAAGGCTGTTGATTAGAGCTTTCATCAGTTGTTGCGAAGGTCGTCAGGTAACCTTCATCGATCTACGTGAAAATCTTCAAATTGTAACCTTCTAGAAGTCGTCAGATTGTAACTTCCATCATCGGTGTTTGATGGGGATAAGTCATCTGTTGTGATTTTTTAGACAGCCTACAAGAAGTAAAAAACATTAGTTGTGATGGTTGAGTCGGATTACCAGTTTGCCTCCACACCCCCTGTAACATGGTGCTACCTCCACCATTCCAATGTCTGGTTCATAAAAACCCTAAGTCTACACTTTTCTTAGTACTCGTTTTATTAGTTAATAACTTGAGCATCGAAGGGCACGCCAGAGAAATCTCTTTCGGGGTCTCTAATGTCTGTTGTTCATGCATGGAATTGTTTTTCACAGTTTGTGAGCCATTAGAGGAGATCAATGACCCATAATCTTCTCTTAATATCACCTTACTCACAAATTATCTTTCAGACATAAACATGGCATATATGCTATTAACCTAAATAATAACTTGACAAACTCTTGGGCCATGACTAAATAAATTTGCCATGACTGAATTTGGTCCAATTTTGGATTCATTTCTGATTGGTAAAAACATGATTAGTTTTGGTTCTAAAGTTAAAAAAGAAGTCATAAAACTAGTTTAGTGTTAGAACACCATCTCTTTGGTCTAACTCTAAACTAGTTTAGAATAGAACTGTGTCAGGATTGAATATAAGCAAAAACACTCTTAGACTTACTAACAGCTGTATTCTTACTTTTTAGTAGAGAATTTACTTAGTAGGACATGATCATCTTGCCTAATAATTGCACTGAAGGGAGCATACCCAGATTGAAACTAACAAAACTAAAGGCACTAACCCATGATAGGGTTTTACCAAAAAGTTAACCAAACCTAGAGCTCACCACCTCACCCTAAAACAACAACAACAGTCAGAAAAGAATAAAAACCACTACAACTCTCCATCAAAAGAAAGGGCAAGCTCCCATTAAACAACAACAAAATGAGAGGACAGTCCCTGCTTTGTGTCAGCCTTACGTATAAAATACTAGGAATTTGAGTCCCTCCGTTAAAAGAATAAAACTAACAAATTATAATATTGCTAGCTTTCTACCTACTTAGTGGTATTTTTGTGAATTGGTTCAGCATTGAGGATGTAAATGTAAGTGTTGCGAAGACTAGGCATTAGTTCTCTCTGACTGTCCGAAAGCAAAGGGCACCAAAGAGGAACTCATTTGGCCTTTTCCTCACTTTTGGTGAAAAAAAGGGTATTTTATTCAGAGGCCAGAATCCGACAAGAGTAGTGGCACGCTGTAAATTAAATGCCAGTTGATGGTTGTTTATTGTAAACTCCTTGGACGTTATTGGTCGGGGAATTATTTTTTTCAAGATAGACCCCCCCCTCAGATTTTCTTTTTCAGGGCTTAAAATTATAAGGTTTTGGTCGTCCGATAAATCAAATCACCTCAACCAGAAAAACTTCTAATTAAAAGCGTTTTAAACCAGATTGAATCTATAATTTTATATACAAAATAAGCATTCGTAAGTACTTTAATTTTTATTTTCAAATTTTAATTTTTATCTTTAATAATACTATTGTTATAACATACTTTATATATGTATATGAGGTAGATATACTCTCAAAGTGATTAACAATAATTCCTGAATTTTTAGCCTTCAATCTCTGCAAGTGCATAACCTATTTAAATGCTATGTATTTTAATAATCTTAGATTTTAGAATGCTAAATATATACTTTGACAATACTATCATATGGTAAAAATGGAGTACAAATTCATTTCACAAAGACATCGAATCTATAATTTACTTAATTAAAATTAAGATATAGTCTGTATTCCTATTAGATAGATCACAAGGGTTATCATTTTTAAACAAAGAGAAAAATAAAAATAAATAATCTCAAGATAGTTGTAATTATAAAGGTGATATCAGAATCTTTTTGTTTTTTCCCCTCTCTGGATTAATTTTGTTGATAAAGTTAATAATTTCTACTTGATTATTTCTATATGAATAGCTACAATCGGTGATTTGAGAGCTATCCATATAAATATAGTATTTAGAGTCAATTGTGTAATCATACCATATTGTGATCAGGGTATCAGAATGTATTTATAAACCTAAAATAGTAGAGTAGCTACAAAATTTAGGTTAAATGGAATAAATACCTTCAAAATTTGCAAAAAGGATAGTCGTTAAAATTCTAATAACAATAAAACCAGGGCGCTTCCTGCAAAAGTTCCAGCCAAAAAGTACGCTGACGGAGCAATTTAAGCGTCTCCACGTTCAGAGCATTTTCCCCTCCCAGCGAATCCACAGTAGTATCGTCACCACTGATACCAAGCGCGAAATCAGAGCGGAAAAAAAAAACTCTTCTCTCTCCTCTCTCACTCTTTCTCTCTCCTCGGTTTCCGGAAATGACCCTGATGGAGGGAATGATGGCCGCCCACGGGACCAGCGCCCCTTCAGACTAGCTCTCCTCTCTTCCCAAAAAGGACAAAATAAAAATTAAAACTCCTCTTTCTCTGTCTAGAATTCTTCTTCTCTCCTCTTTGTTTTCTATGGGTCGAAGGAGGACGGCGGCGGAGGTGGCGGAGAGGGCGGAACCGGCGAGGAAGAGGAGCGGCGGGGGGGGGGGTACGGACTCAGCAGGCGGGAAGGGGATCTTGCCGTGGGAGCTAGGGTTAGGGTTTTTCGAGAAGATTGTTACTTTTTAAGGGTTTTCTTTTTGCTTTCTAATTCGCTCGCTTAGGGTTTCGGAACGATGGGGGGTTTGGTTAAAGAAGTGCTGAGGAGGCTCTGCGTTGAGTTTGGATGGTCTTATGCTGTTTTCTGGAAGCTGATCGGGTTTGGAGATCAGATGTAAGCTTCGATTTGATCTTTCTTTGTTGTTTTTGCCGTTAAATTTTCATTATTGTATTTTCTTTTCTTTTCTTTTTTTAGAAGAAAAATCTTTTTCTTAAATGTTTTCTCGTGTGGCTATCAATGGCAAGTGAACAAACTTTGGTATTTGACATTTTTGTGCTATAGGGATGATTTTGATGGGGAAGAATATCCCTGTTTTTTGGTGGATAATGACTGTATGATTAGATGCAGGGGATCAAAATCTCTTTTTTTTTTGTTTCTTTGGGCTTTGTTATAGGCCTTTTCTTTGGGTGATGTCTAGTGTTTGGTTAGATCTTGTTCTTTAAATGAACTTTTGTTTGACCATTAATGATCAAATGAAAAACTTTAGTGTCAAATTTTTTGTTCCATGTTCTAATTAGTTTACTTGGGAGAATATGCTCTCTTTTTCCTTCTTTTTTTTTTGCTTCTTTAAGAAGGTAATAAATGTGATAGCGTTGCTTATCTTGGTGGATAATGACAGGGTGATAATTGCACTCATTTTGAACTTAAAATGAGCTCTTTTTAAGATAGAAAACAAAATAAAGGACCTGTCTTTTCCCTTTACTTTCTGTTTTCAAATTGCTGAGTTTTACTGTTTTACTCTTGAATAAATGAAGATGTAGTTGAAGTTTTAGTCTCAAATTTAATAGGAATTTGGTGTGGGAAGATGGACATTGTGAGCGAACTTCTGTTGCCTCGGCTGCTTCTGGGTTTGAAGCAATTGATCTTTTAATTAAGGAAAGTGGGGTGCTTCGAGGCTCTCAAAATGGTGGCTTTTCTCAGCTTGGAGGAACTGAGGACAGAGTGAGAACTCTAGTTTTCAAGTTGATGGCAACTCAGGTTCATCTTGTCGGAGATGGGTGTGTAATTTTTTTCATTTTTACCATTGAATCATTTTTGTTATTTCCTTTGTTTCTTTACTTAATGACCTAGTGTATTTCAGGATAGTTGGGAAAGCTGCTTTGACAGGGAAACATGAATGGATGCTTGGAGATATGCTCTCTAATAGGGGATTCACGTCTAAGGTATTTCTCAATTAGATCTATTTTCTGCAAGAATTCAACAGAAGATGTTTGTTATTATCAAAACTTTCATACGAAGGCTACTTCAGGAAATGTTGATGGGTCTAGTGTTAAATCTTTCGCTCAATAGAATAGATGATTTCATAATGATCCACTCCAGTTTCAAAACATGCAAAAAATTGCCATATACTTGTTCTCTCCCTTTCTCTAGAAAACATATGCTTTTTATCATAGTCGGATTGTCAATCATTGATCAGCTTTACATGTCAGTTAGAATACATGACTGTATTCATGCATTCCTCAAAATGGCTATCCTGTAGTTTTTGTCATGAGAGGTGATCTTTATTAGCTTTGGGTTTTTATGCAAAATTTGTTATCCTCTCGAAATATTTTGTTTGATCGATACATCACCTATGCTAGAGCTCAATCAAACTTAGTTTCCATCATGATTGACTGCCAACATACTTCTGCCAGCTGTAGCTGCTCCCAAGAACAATATTTTTTTTGCTGAGGTCAGATGTGGAGAGTTATAGACTCAAGTCCTGGCAACTGTGTTTTAATCTGACATTGCTGTGGGATTTTAGAGCTTGAATTTTTTCATTAGGTGGGTGGTGTTTCGGGATCCTGATGGTACCATTATTATCACAGTTTCCATATAGTATGACCTGTATTTTCCCTTATTATTTTTAGCTTCCTTTCATCGACGTTGAGCTGTGATGCTGTAGCAAGAGGTGACTTGCATTTGAATTCAAATCCATGATTTTTCTGGCAAGCAGCCTGACTGAACTTTCATCTCGTATGTCACATTCACATTCCCGAGTGTGCATGATAGTTATTGAAGTTCATTACAATAGATTGTCAGATTGTAAATTCCTTGATTTTCTGCAAGTTATTGTGTATGGCATTCTATGGTTACTTTTTAATTTACTTCGAGAAATTGAAATTTATAACAATATTTGACTTAAATGAACAATTTCTCCTGTCAGTATTGAAGTTCTTTATTTCTTTTACCGTATAGTTATCATTGTATATGTTATAATTGTAATGTTATTGGCTTGGAGTTGGCTAAACCATTTTAATGTTCTGGACGGCAAATAGGTCCATTATGACAATTTTTTTGTATTTGTATTGATTCAGGTTTTGGCTGAGATCAATAACCAACTTCTGGCAGGCATCAAGGTCAGAAAAGCCTAATTAATATTTGCTTCCATTGGCGTGACCTTTCCTTCTATTCTTTTCATGTTTTTCAGCTGCTTACGAATGTTGTTTGTTCCACAGACAACAGCAATTATTCCAGTGCTTCCTCAAGGCATTTTGCAACTTGGTTCCACTCAAATGGTAAGTTCTTGTTCAATTTTATCTGATGTGAAAAATCATTGTTGATGACACAGAATCTCAAGTAAGAGGAGATTTATCTTAATTATTTGCTCTTAGGAGTAAATTTGCTACTTCGTTTATTAATTAGGAGTGATACTATAGTAACTGGAATATGTACTAACTTTCGATAACTGCTCTTTCAGCTCCCTGAGAATTTTGGGTTTATAGTTCATGCAAAGAGTTTGCTTGGACAGCTGCAATTCGTGCGAGGGGCTGTCTTATCTAGTGACACTCAGAAAATTTTGTGCCAGAAACTAGTAGAATCTACCGGAATGCAAACAACTCACAAACAATATAGAGAAGCTAGGACTGATATAAATGGTGCATCATCTGTCAATGATGATAATCATAATCACCAACATTTCAGCCCTGCACTTTCTAGAACTTTTACTGAGATTTGTCCTTCATCTACACAGTTATATGACCAAATGTCAGCCATTGTTTCAGAAACCCCATTAGCTAAAGAGAATATGTCAAGCAAAATGGTACCTCCTAGTACCCAGCCAATTGTTGAAACTCATCATAGCCAAGTTGATAGTGGAGCTCAGGAAGCTCATACAATGTTCTCTAATCCTGATGCAAGGCTGCTTCAGAGCATACTTCCTTGCAAATCTGACTCTCAAAACCATCAGCAATCTCCAACTGGTTTACCCTATAATAGATTGGCATTCCTTGAAGAACAACTATCTATGCCCAGTGTTAGAGCAGGAGAGTTTGCTAATAATCGTGAATCTACATTAGCTAATACTAACATGCTGCAGTTACTATCCTACGGATGCACATCTCTCCAACCTCTCCAAGGTTCTGAGAGCATTTCATCATTTGCCAGAAGCCAATTGCTGGAAAGTGCAAATGGTATTGGCAAATTCAATTCATTTGCCAGTGGCATAGGAAGTTTCAGGAGCCAGCATGCTGAGTCATCTAGCACAGAGTTGCCTCAAGTGTTGAACCCGATTGATCATTTGGAGCAGGGTCATCTAAACTCCATTGATACAATATTTCATTCTGGATCTCTTAGAGAAAAGCAGAAGAGCAACGATGGTCAATATCAAGCTCTGGAGAGCCAATTCACCCAATATGATGAGCATGGTTCTTCCTACTCTCCCTTGCTTGATCCTGTTCAGAAAAATAAAGCACATCAAGAATCTCCCTGTGTTGAAAATGGTAGGGACCCAACACCAGCTGGAAGTGGTAACAAGAGCAACGAGAAGGCCGGGAATCTGCAAGCTTTAGATGAGAAAATTTCAGTAAGCCTGCTACAGTCTTCGTCAGCAAATGATTTGTTTGATGCATTGCGTCTTGATCAATGTAAATCTGGGTTCTCTGATAGCAAATTGGATAACGTGAAAATACATGCCGCTGAAAATGCTCATGGATTGAATACTGATGTTTCTAATCGCATAACTGAGTTTGAAGAGTATCTTGGTTATAATGCATTGAATAATGAGCTTTTTTGTAGCGGGATGTTCTCAGTAGCTGGGAGTGACCAACTGCTAGATGCTGTGGTCTCTCAGTTCAACCCCGGTGCCAGATATGAGATGGATGATATTGCGTCTTGTAAGAATCCATTAACAAAGATTAGCAGTTCTTCAACCAATGGATGTGCCACTACATGTAAAAAGACACATGCTGAAACTTTTTCTCTGCCTCCTGTGCCTATAAAGCCTGAGCCGGCACCTTCAAGTTCTTTAAAATCTTCATGCAGCATTGAAAGAAGTGACGGGTGCATTTCCCAAAGCCATGGAAGCTATAAATCTCAAATTAACCTATGGATTGAAGGCCAGAAAATGAGCAATGATAATCACTCTGGGGCACATGGCAAAAAGGTTGATGAGGGAGGTAAACAAGTTAGAAAGAGATCTAGACCTGGGGAGAACCCACGACCAAGACCCAAAGACCGTCAAATGATCCAAGACCGTGTCAAGGAACTACGTGAAATTATCCCAAATGGACCTAAGGTGATCTAAATTTCTGCTGAAGCTCTTCTGCTGATTTTTTTTTTCTGGATTCATAATTTGTCATTGGTTCTTGTATGTTATGCATCTGATGATACTCACTTCTTTCTTTTCATCGTAAATTGGGAAAGCAGTTGAGTATTGATGCTTTACTGGAGAAGACCATCAAGCACATGCTATTCCTGCAAAGTGTAACAAAGCATGCAGACAAGCTGAAGGAAATTGGGGAGCCTAAGGTATATGTTGTTCTTGATCTATGTCATGCTGATATTTGCAGTTTTGTTCTTTTAGTTAAAATATACTTTTAGCAACATTACTTAGATGCATAATATCTGTATTCTATAGTTCTGGCATATATCTTCACACGTTTATTGGTTTTTGAGGATTTTTTGCTGGAAAGCATATCTGAATCCTTTGAATGTTCATATTGTCTCTTGTTTAAGAAACAGCAACATTTGAGTTAAAAATTGTAATGTCTTACCCAATTGATCAGACATCCACATGATTGCTAAATCCATCTTGAACTCTCAATTTGAATCAGAAATCAGATTTATAGGTTCCACGACAGATGTGGCACATAATACTACTTTTACTGTTTCTGGCAATTAAAATACAAATTACTAAAAAAAATCACATAAGTAATCAGTTTTCGTCTCTTGTTCTCTAGGGACCCTTGTCTTTATCCTATTTTATACTGTACATAAGATTTAGATCCGTGTCCGTGTCCTGCAACTGTTTCCTTCATTTCTCCTGCTTCTTCGAAAAGTTTCTTTTCTGCTAGTTCAACTGATTGTTTCATTTGTGATTTTGTGTGTATTGTTTGAGTCATGTTCTTTTTCTTTTCCGTTGTGTGGGGGGTTGGTGGGGTTCATAAGGGGAAGAAGATTAAAGGGGGGCGGATACACATAAGAGATACTCACAGGATATCAACAAATTCAAGGGTAGGACTTTCTACATAATATAGTTTTATCCATTTCATAGCAATGCAATAATAATGATGCTACATAGAAAGCTGGATGTACGAGTTTTGACTTAATGCAATCTTATAGAAGCCCAAGCATTTGTATATGTACTTTTGTCAAATCTCCTAATTTCATTGTGTTTTAATACAGTTAAAGTTCTGCTTAGATATGCCAAACATTTTTATTTCTTAATGCATCCTCAGATCCTCAGCAAGGATGGAGGCTTGCTGCTGAAGGATAACTTTGAGGGTGGTGCAACATGGGCATTTGAAGTAGGTAGTCAGTCCATGACGTGTCCTATTATAGTAGAGGATCTGAATCCACCTCGTCAGATGCTTGTGGAGGTAAACTTTATCTCTTGTTCCTCATTAACTCAGTTTTCAGACAGAGGAAGGATTTCTAGAGACATTGTTGTTTATGCAGATGCTTTGTGAGGAGAGGGGTCTCTTTCTGGAGATAGCTGACTTAGTTAGAGGTTTAGGGCTCACCATCCTGAAGGGGGCGATGGAAGCTCGTGGTGATAAGATATGGGCACGCTTTGCTGTTGAGGTATTATCACAACTTTGCATCCTAAATGTGTATTAGATTATTGTTTCTGACATAGATGTTGATCTTTGTTATAGTACCTAATGTTGGTATAGTATTGGTGTGATTGAAAGCCTTTTTTTTAACCTCCACTAGAACTGAAGTTCTTTAATACTTAGCAATAAATCAGTAGTCTAACAGAAATCATCTACAATCCAAACCAAACTTATAAAATATCAGTTCACACATTTTGGTTGGAAAGTTCAACTTTTGTGCGCTTTCTCTGTACCTCTGGGTGTCAAATTACTAGCATATAGTCTTCTGTATTAGCCTTCTTCATTTTTATGACATATATTGGCTAAAGTCCTCTTTTCCCTTAATTTACAAAAAAAAGAAGCGAAAAACAAAAGTTATAACTTGGTTCTGAACTAGCTTCTCACTTATATCATACCATCTTTTTCATTCAGGCAAACAGGGATGTGACGAGGATGGAAATATTTCTATCACTTGTACAATTGCTGCAACCATCCGCAACAAGCAATGAAATCCCCGAAGGCTTGAACACTCCACAAAATATGTTCCACTCCCCATCATCAATCCCTGCAACTGGTTTATCTGACCGATTGTGGTGAGCCACTGGCAGTTTCCTTTTTCTTTCTTTGTTCGAGAAATGCTATGAGCAGGAGCTAGTGATTTCTTGCTGTGACTGGCATTTCGGTGTCAATGGATTTAATTACTGACAGATTGGTGATTGTTGTTCGGCGAGCTCACTAGAATCAGAAATGTAAAAGTTTTTTTTGTTGCTGATCGTGTATTTTCTTGATTATCACCGGGATTGGGTTCGTATGCAGTTTATGATGTAAAATTGTGTTGTAAAATTAGGGTTTGCAAGATGGTAGGGTTCCACAAGTGTAGAAAAATGACTGTAGGTAGGATTTGAGTCGGTAATTATATGTGCTTTTGTTCTGAAATATGATGATCTGATGCTTCTAAATTCTGTCGTGTGGTTTGTTTTGGAATGCTGATGGGATGGCAAACAATGCAGTAGGATTCTGTTGTTCAGAGTTGTACAAAAGAAGGATCAGGTTTAATCCACGTTGTCTGATCAATTAATTACCAAGTTTTGATTTGAGGAAAATGATCAAAGCAAAAAGACTGCGCAGCAGCAGGTCTTTTATTAAAGTCTTGTGCGTTTACAATGGATTTTCAAAAAGGATGTCTTATAAAAAAACTACTAAATTAATCTTAAAAAAAACAAATTAATCTCGGAAACAAGTTGAGAGAGGGAGAGAGAACTTATGGTGGTTAAATTCATTTTTGTAGTCTCTACGGAAACAGTAGGCAACACCGACCTGGATAATTACTCTAATATACTACAAATATTTTTTTATAAATATCACAAATCGCGGGCTGTGAGTTCGCTCGGCCTATTCTTATCCTTAACTAAGGACGATGACACCACATTTTTGGTGCAGGACCTTTAATAGATCTTAAAGTTAGCTAAAGCAAACACACAACTAGTGCGTGTAAGCCTTTCAAGGCCCAATTAAAGAAGTGTTTTATCAGAACCCGCACTGTGCGGGGAAATAGCGAGCCTTCCCCAAATCTGCAGCATTCTCCAAATTTTTGGGGAGAGCTTTATTATTGTAATAAATGCAATTTTTCAAAATGGGAAAGCTGTTGGAGTTAGAGTAAAAATAATTTGGAGGATATGACTTTTGTTTCTCCATTTTGGAGAAAATTTTGAGGAAGCTGTTGGAGATGCTTTAATAGTCACACAAGAGAGGGAGTAAATGACGGAACTGCTTCTTGATGGTCTGAAGATGAGGCTCAGAACCTCCCGCACCGTGGAGGAGGATACGATAGAACACTTTCGCTAATTAAAGTAGCTTTTCTACGTCAAAAATGGTGTACACCTACGAAAAGTGTGGATCACGTCTTTGTTAGCCGGAGGCTAACTCTCTGGTCCATAGTTATTATTTAAAAAAAAAGGTTTTTATTAATAAAATAGGATAAGGACAAAATTTATCATGGATAAAATGGAGAAAATTCCTCATTGTCTTGTTCAACACAATTATTGATGAGCCCACTCACAAGCGTCTTTATCCTTTTCGGCCTTCTTTTTAAAGTAGGACGAGAAAATAGTGATGTTGCCATATTTTAAGCACTTTCTATATCCAAAAAAAAGTTATTTCACCACACTAACACCATTGCTTGGCGCCACATAATTAAGCTGGCTTATAATTCTTACAGGAGGAATTTTTTTTCTTCAATCACAATTCTCTTTGATTTGAGAGCAAGTTGCACTATGCTTTTAACGAAATGTACAAATTACAGTAAATTCCAGGAGCATGTGTTAAAAAACATAGGTGGACTATCTCCTTTTTTAAAAAAAATTTATTTTCATCCCACATCCCTTAGGATGATAGAAGTTCGTCCATTGCTCTTGTATATAAAGTTCTCAATACAGTGAATAATATTATCAAGTTCTCTTAGATTTCTCTATACTTATTAGTATGATAATACTATAACTACAAAAAAAGTGAAATAGAAATTTTATATTCTCCTGTCAGCCTATAGACTTGAAATTTTTTGCAAATTCTAGGGTCCTGTCAAAAGTGGTATTGGTGGCTGAAAAATGGCTGGCTCTTAATAAGAGTAACGAAACACTAGCTAAGCTGCTAAGTTCAATTATTCGCTGCCCAACTCGCGTAACGTAGACGCGTACAGAGTTACTCTATGAAGTGGTAATTATGTGGCTGTACGTTATGGTGGGCTCTACTAGTTTTGCTCGACTCTGGTTCTAAGCTCAATAAGGTGACGGCAGCCAC